ACAACGACTGGCACCAAGTCTTGCCATTGCATTCATGTCTAAGGTGGAAGCGCCAGTAATCGACCTCGGTCCGTTACTCTGCTGTAGATATATAGATGACTGTTTGGTCATTTGTTCAACACAAGAAGAAATTGACAGATGTTTCGAGTTGTTGAACGAACAGTCAGAGTATATTAAATTCACCCGAGAGAAACCAAAAGAAAACTGGCTTCCATTTCTGAACGTGCAAATTAGCCCATCAGAAAACGGCTACATTACGAAATGGTATCGAAAGCCGAGAAGTAAAAACAACCTGGTTTATTACCTCTCCTCTCATCCCTCTCACACGAAAAGGGCGCTTGTGAGAAACATGTATCGAACAGCTACCAGCGTGTGCACAGGAAGACAGCAGAGAGAGGAGTCCCTGAACTTGGCGCGGCAAATAGCCATTTTTAATGGCTACGAAACTGTTGCTCGAGATAGGTGTAGAGGAAGCCACAGGTATTCCAACGATAACTTCAACGACAACAAGATCCCATTTATACTCTCCTTCATTTCAAATGAAGTAAGTGCAGCTATAAAACGCTGTTTAAGAAGGGCCAGTCTAGAGAATTCGGTAACGATAATCGAAATGCCACCGAGTACTCTAAGACGCCAGCTAGTTCGTAACCGCCTATACGACCGTCTATGTGCAACGCAAAATCGCATAGTTTTCGCCAATGGTAGAGACGGTGACTGCATGAGTTCGGGTACAGTCTATCTGATCTCTTGTAAAGCGTACGGGGACGAATACGTTGGCGAAACGAGTGGACCACTCTGCGTACGTATAAAAGAACACCTAGTCGGCAAACGTAAACCAAAGACTCCACTAGGCACGCATAGGACGCAGAGACATAACGGAGATTTTGAAGTAAGGGTTACGATCCTCGCGCAAGAATCGAGAACACAAGCGCGCAAAACTCTAGAGGCATTCTGGATTAATTCCAAGAATCCGAAAATGAACCCTAAGGAGGAATGCCTCATTATCACGCGTGATATTGCACAGTCTATAAACCTGTTATTCTGATGGGAGGGGCACATTACGCTTCCATGTGAATTCTGTGTGGTTGTTCTTCACGTGACACACTCAGTGGAAGACTCATAGAAAGCGGTGAGTGTGCAGAGCTATGTTAAATGTGATTGAAATCTTGATTTAGCGTTTTTTCTGTTTGGTTATGGAGGTGTTTGGCAGAATAGGTTGCTGTCAACTTGACCTTTCCAGGTTCTGAGGAAGGCAAAATCCGCCGAAACGTTAGCTTGTATGTATAAAGTTAGCTTGTATAAAGAAATAAAATAGCACATCGTGTTTGCCGAACAGAAGTAGAAAGAATTGTTCAATCAGTGCCAAGGATAATGGAAAGTCGGACTTAGGAGTTACTTCAACCTTTATCCTTTGCCATAGAAGATAAACGAATTTGAATATGAAGTTGTTTTCTGCCGCTTTCCCTAGCGTGAAACCACTTTTGTGTCCGCTTTATTAGCTGATTTTTTTCATTTATTTCTTCTACGCTTCGTGTCAAAGCGAGTTTCTCAGACTGTTTTTGATGCCGTGTTCATCGCTTGCTACAATCTCTTCTTCACAGCTCTTCCGGTGTTGGCGATGGGCTCACTTGATCAGGATATTGATGATTCTTATAGCTTGCAGTAAGTAAACAATTGTGTGGGAATATTTTTTCGTCTTATAGTACTTCGAATCTTCGAATCTTACAGATATCCAAAACTCTACCTACCAGGCCAATTCAATCTGTTTTTTAACATGAGGATCTTTATATATTCAGTACTCCATGGCATGTTCAGGTTGGTCATGGGTTCTGGCTATTCCTGCCATCAAAAGGAAGCTTAGAAAGTCTAAGTAGGACAAAAACATTTTTAAATGGAATTGTTCAGCATTGGAACTCAGGACGGATAGATATCTATAGTTGACTGGGCGATTTCACATTTTTGAATCAATGTGCTAACAAGAAACATGTAAAAATGAAGAGAAGAGAAAGTAATTGGCAGCTTAACCAAACTATGGCCCAACATGGACAAATTTTTTTGTAACTTCGATCTAGTAAAGCTAGTTATTCCTCATGGCCGTCACATATATCACCAAACAGTCGATATTCATTGAAGGGATGTTTTCCAAGAAGTGGCCTAATACCGTTTTCTTTTTTGGAGCTTCAGTAGACAACTAAGCATTAAGACGAAATTAAACATGCTATGATCATAATGCGATATTGAAAGATCTCTGTGCTATTGAATCTATTAGACAAAATTGAAAAAAGGCTAAAATGGGAACTATTGGGATCACTGCCTACTACACAAAATTTCAGGATAATTTTTACATAACACACGGACTATGAACTGCTTTAGAACAGAAATTTACATTAAACAATCTATGTTTCATTAAAGTTCGAATGTGGCGGTAAATCTTTCGGGCACTAACTTCTTTTCTTCTTGGTTTTCCGTTTCTCATAACCCCACATGTTGGTGAACCAAGAAAACCTTTGGTTGAGCACATAACTCAAGCCATCTTGAAGTTTCCTGAATTAGTCGGAAATATTATTAACAGTACAATATTATTTCATTTTGTTTGTATTTTATCGCCTTGTATGCTCTAATTTGTATGAAATGCTGAGATGTTTGCAAAACTCCGAACCACAGGTGTATGCAGTGGGGAACGAACACGCGCTGTTGTCCTTACCGGGGAGCAGCGCACTTCACCACTACACCATCCGGGTCCTTCGCTTTGCATGTCTCTCAGCTAGTTCTATCGATCTTTTTGCCATCAGCAATCACCCGTCAACGGGATTGATCTGGGGAGCCAATATCGGCATTGAACCCAGTTAAGCTGAGGGTTAGTTATAATCACAATCTTAACTCTTTTATTTACTGCCTTTTTCTTCTTAATGGCAGGTTATGTTTCGAATTATAACTCGTATGAAAAAGTCAGTAAATAAAGGAGTTAAGATTGTGATTATAACTAAGCCTCAGCTTAACTGGGTTCAATGCCGATATTGGCTCCCCAGATCAATCCCGTTGACGAGTGATTGCTGATGGCAAAAAAATCGATAGAACTAGCTGGGAGACATGCAAAGCGAAGGACCCGGATGGTGTAGTGGTGAAGTGCGCTGCTCCCCGGTAAGGACAACAGCGCGTGTTCGTTCCCCACTGCATACACCTGTGGTCCGGAGTTTTGCAAATATCTCAGCATTTCAAACGAGTTATAATTCGAAACATAACCTGCCATTAAGAAGAAAAAGGCAGTAAATAAAAGAGTTAAGATTGCCCTAATTTGTGTTTGTAATGTGCTGTATAGAACTTGAAGTATTCAGTTCACTGGTGATCTTCTTTATCCCATATGGAACGCTGCTGAACGGCGCCTCTCACAACGGCAAGGATCTGGACGACTACGCGACACTGGCGTTCACCACCTTCACAGCGCTGATCGTCGTCGTCACCGGCCAGATCGCCTTCGACACCGCCTACTGGACCGCCATCAATCACTTCGTCATTTGGGGCTCTCTCATCTTCTACCTGTTGCTCGCCGTCCTCATATACGAAGGTCAGTTTGTCAACTAGAGCTCGAGAAATGTAACATAGAGACTTCTCTCTGTAGAGTTCTTTTGTCTTCATTTCTAATGAACTCACTTGGCCTAGTGAAGCCAACCACTCGATTCAACTGTTTCGCTGAAAAAAGAGAATTTTGCATATCTGTAAAATATTTATAGACTGCAGAATAGAAAGGAATCCATTTCAATCTTAAGTATGTTCACTGCAGTTATTTAGCAAATATTCTTATTGTCACAACGTTGCTGAGATATTTGCAAAACTCTGGACCGCAGGTGTCTGCGGTGGGGAACGAACCCGCTATTGTCCTTTCCGGGGAGTAACGCGTTCACCACCACACCATGCGGGTCCTTCGTTTCGCCTGTCTCTCCGCTATTTCTCGTATCCTTATTGTATCGGTAACAGCTTGGTATAGTTTGTAAACCACTCTCCTGATCGTCAAGTGAATAAAAACTGTAACTCGGAAGGAAAAACAGCTGAGATTATGCCAAATGGGATGAAACTGGCCAGCCATGTTCTAAAATTGTGTTAAGACTCAATTCCTGGCACATGCGTGAACGGTGATTACAGAGGTGTGTTTGAGGTGATATTTTTCAACAAGGTCTGCCAATTTTTGATGTTGAACACTATTGGCGACAACTGCCTTAATGACGATTTTATAACACAACATCATTTTGAAATCTATGGACTACGGAGAAGAATTTTCTCATGAAAATCACGTTTCACCTCACGCACCAGAAATCCTAGTGTAGGCACGCGTAGTGCAGTGGTTAGACGTGTCCTGCAACAAACACTGAATCTGTTGCTGGTTCAATCCTGCGCCTCCGGCTCACGAAGCATTCCATATCTTTTGTATCGGAAAATGGGTATCAGACTTGTCTAAGAGGATGAAGGCACTGTCTTGTTACATCAGTGGACCGTAGGTTATTGTATAAACCCGCCTTGCATTCAGTCACCTCCAAACGATGTTTAACGAAGTCGAGCGCGTGGTGCATCCCCCTTAGGGACTTTTCAACGCCAAATTATCCTTTTTGTCCTTCAGTTCTAGTAGAAACCAGTAAATTCTATAGTTGAGGCTGAGGTCTAGGCTGACATTCATCTTTAGTGAAAATTCCGTTATGAAAGTTTTTCAATGCAAGTGTAGAAACAGTGATTCGCAGTAAATAACACGGTTGACTTCCACTGATAAGCTAACACGAGTTGATTAAAATTCCATTCGCCTGACGTTTCTGCGCCTTCCCCTTCTTCAGAGTCGAATTAATCCAAGTCAATTCGTGCGTCAACAACCGTGCTGTGTAAGAGAGTACTGCAGAGTGAGGATACTTCATTCGAGCGGTGCTCCATTGGATTCGACTCTATGCGATCATGAAAATCCACATCGAAAGAAAGAAGATCTCTGGATCATTCACTTGGATCCTGGGCTCTGAAGATTACGAAGGCGTCGAAACGTTGGCCGAATAAATGTTTGGTAACAATCTCGTATTTACAACTTATCAGTGAAAGAATACATATTGATTAGTCATAGCTAGGTCAAAGGAAAGTCGATTTTCAAACATGGTTGATTTTGTTAGAATCATCTAAGCTGATGAAGAAGCCATTTTGGTTACATATTTCAATAGCTGTGTTGATAGCAGCGTAAATAGTCAGGACAATTAACGTATTTCATCACTTGATAACACTCATTGCCATTCTGTGACTTTCTGTAATTCTAAAAGGTTTTGCAAGTCTTTATTTTGAAGCACTGTACTTAATGACCGGTGGCCCTCGCGCCCAAGGAAACATTAATTCCGATTTTCTGATCATATCATAGTAGGGCCTCAATTCTTTATTGGTGCATCATGGGTGGGCTTTGATATAACACATAACCTCTCCAGTTGGTTTTCCAAATGCAATATTTCCTTTTCAATCACTGGAGAATTTGAAGAGTTGGAACCAGATTTATAGAAGATAGTTTTCTTATCCTAATCAGGTATATAATTCATACTGTGGTTTCAATGTTATGTGTGCTTACTATTGTCATATATTGATCTCAAGTTGAAAGCGGCCATTGTTTTTTTCATCAGATGCCTTGTTTATCTATCTCTCCATTTATTGTACATTGAGCAGTCTTCAAATTTACTGTGCAGATCCCTGTACTCCTTGCGTTCGATGCATTTCCTTTTATCCATCATCCACTTTACACATGTAGGTTCGGCTGCTACTTAAGAGTTGTCGTCTTCTATATGGACGTCATTGATTGGTAGTCGAGTCGATTTTCTCTGGAGCCCTGGGATAGTCGAGCTAGAACGGTGCTACTTGGATTTCAAGGAGTGGATTGTTCCCAAACTAGTCTAGTATCAATTGCCTGTACCATAGAGTGATGAAAGGCTTGGGGACCATGGTGAGGGATTGGACAAGCACTATACTCATCATGAACGACATCACTGCCACAAGATGTTGGAATCCTAATTACCTTGCACCCAATGCATATCGATCGCCACGTGTTACTCATATTATTCCCTTTTCGTTTAGTGTTCTCCGAATTACGTGTTGAATTTCCGAATAAACAACTGCGATTTCGTATTTGGTGAAATACTGACCACCGTGAAGCGATTATTTAGGGTGTAAGTTGGAAACATGGATAGGATTGAACATCAGTGTATGTATAAAGCTTAAATCAGATGGATCCATTGTTGGTTGTAAGAGAGTGAGCAATTTTAATATTGCCCCTTATGTCATTAACGATTTTAGATCTTACCATTTAATCATTATAAATTTGGTCATCAGCAAGAAGGGATGAGTGAGAATTTAGGTCTACCGGCGTCGGCAATCGCCAAGTCCTCGACCAGCATCTCGTACGGCGTCGTCTTCAAAACCATGGCCACACCACAGTTCTGGTTCTCTGTTCTAATGGTGAGCTGCAATCGGCCAATTTTATTTCGATTTACAACCAATTTATTAATTTTAAAACATTAAATTTCTTCCCGACTGCTCTACGCTTTTCGTAATTTCTATTCGGAACCTCTTCGCATCTTCGTCATATGGCACACAGCTTACGTTGTTATGATTTATAAAGTTTTGAATTATAGTACGAGTATACTTTCACTGATAGGCTAACAAGAGGCTAGTAACAGATTTTATTCGGCTAATATTTCGTCGCCTTCGCCTTCCACCGAAGCGGATTGATCAGTGTCGATTATCCACGGTTCTTCCTCTTTCCGATGTGGGTCTTCGTGATCATCAAATTGAGTCCATTGGAGCACCGCTCGGTTTTTCCAGTTTTTGAAATATTGTTACGCTCTGTGCTTCTACCCACTGCAGGAAAGATTGCCTAAAGATCAGCGGACAATTACTATTAACAACAATCGTGCTGCATAAAAGAGCACTGGCGTGCGACATTCTTCACAAATCAACTCGGATCAATCCGGCTCTTATGAAGGCGGAGGCACCGGAACGGGCTGCAAAAAGTCTTCTATCAAGCTCATGGTTGCATATCAATGAAAGAACACATTTTGATTAGTTACACCGAGGCTAAAGGAAACTAGATTTTAAAAATATACTTTGAGTGGTGTTTGTGCCGCTGTTAGAACCCGGTGAGATGAGTTCTAAAATGCCGATAAAGTTGAAATCACCGGAAATGGTATGTTGACGGCTACAGACATCGCCGAAAATCCTATTAAGTTGGATCTGGTCAAAGGTGAACTAAAATCCGACATAAAAAAGACAATTTTCAGTTGTAAAAAAGCAGTCTGAACCACTGTTCCATCCTTAGGAATCCGCGTAATTAAATGACATAAAATGTCGACAACAAGTGCGTAAAGAGTAACTTGATATTAAGCCGATTTTTTCTCCTAAAAAGCAACAAAGACGCGAAATCTGGGCGATGTAATAAAATAGAAAACTAGAGCAACGACGGTATCCAGAAATTTGACGCAGTGAAGGTTTTCGATGTCGGTGAAGAAAAAAATGATTTTCGTGGTAGATAAAGCATAAGAAAATCCATTATCGGTTTCTCTCTTCTTTTTTCTTTAGTGATAAAAACTTACTGTAGCGGTTCAGGTCGAAAGGTCCGGGTCGATTAGCCCTTGCTAGGATCCACGAATAATCTGCAGCCTAACAAGATTTCATCGTAGCTTGCCTTAGCTCCTCCTTTTCCACCCACGCTCTATAATGCGAATACATTGCTCAGTATTTTGGTAGTCTGTAAATTGTTCCAAGTCATTATGGAATTAGAATCTCTAAATATCTTTCGTAGACATAATCCCAGTAAACGTTTATCACTCGCTCTGGTGACGACTGTTATTGAAGGTGAGCGCGATTCTTCTGCTGCCGGTGATGCTGAATCGCTTCTTCTGGTTAGATACACATCCATCATTTGCCGACAGACTTCGGGTTCGAAAGAAGCTTGGCAAAAAAGTGACGCACAAGGAAAAAGAGGACAAAAAGTGAGTAAACGTTTTATTATTGTTGCTCCAGTCTTCATGTTATGCAAGATTCTTTAAATGATTCAGTCTTAAACATGATTACACCTTTTGAAAACTTAATAACTCCAAAGTACCAGTTTGGGTTGGCCACTTCGAGTTTTCTTTTATGTCTGATCTTTAGACCTGCGTTCACAAGATCCGCCGCCACACGTCGTAGCGTCCGCGGCTCGTTGCGCTCAGGATACGCATTCTCGCATTCACAAGGTTTCGGAGAACTCATATTGAAAGGAAAGCTCTTCAAGAGCGTCGAGCAAGCACGGACCAAGAACGGGTATGCTAGTAGATCTTTTTTCACGTGACAAACAATGAGAAAATGTCGGATATGAAGAAATTCCTTTCCTAATTGCATTACTTTCTAAGGTGTTCAAATCGTGAGTTTTTTTAGTGCACAAAAAATTGCTTCCTTAGAAACTTCTATTCTTTACATCGGATCTGACTGGATTTTGCTACTAACCCTTGTTCAAATGGCAAAACTGAACAAATTTTCTTGAAACTGCTTGCTTTTATAACAGTTGATTTGGACCGAGGTGATTTATAAAGAGATGATCTAGAGATGAATTTCTCATACATTTTTTCGGGATTTGAAGGCACTGTTCATGGAGCAAGGTTAAAACCTGCTATAGTTCATCGGCGGTTAGATAGGTTCTTAAGAGTTGTAAGAGGAAAAGAGTCTTGTGATTTCCACCTACTTAGATGGTCTACTCATTTTTGTGAACGGAAAGTTCTGATATCCGAGTCCGACGAGCTGAAATCAAAGAGTAACAGGCAGCGATGCACAATTTGCGATGGTTTCACCTGCCACGCTTAACCAAGACGGCCGCCGTTGCACGCCTTATCCATGATCGTTCTATAGAAAATGAACGGAAAAGGTTTCACCAAAATGTCGCACAAGAAGAAGATGCTGATGTGTTTATTAGTCGAATATGAATGCTTTCCAGACAATTTGAGACAGAAACCGTTTTCTAGGCAGCGGATACCTTCGTTATTCCGGATCAATCGATCACGATACTTTGTGAAGTTTTCAGATATTTTATATCGATTATAGGACAAGTCTAAAAGAACGTTATCACAGAGGAATGTTACCGGAAATTTGGAGTGGGATATGCTTAGAATGGCATCTGTTGTGCAGCCTGATTCATGAAGAATACATTTGCAGACAGCAATCACCGCTTCGCAACAATGCCACTCCTTCCAACGCCGTCCCTGCGATGCTCACTCGTGTACCGAACAGCGATGCCGAGGTACTTCGGGATTTTTTTCGTTGAAGATTATTTCGAAGAACTTTATCGATTAATCAATTTGTAACTGCCACGACCGACTTTCTATTAACCTCGGCATTGATCAAGTAATATCCCTGTCAAGATAATCAATTTGTGTTCCAAGTTATATTCTACTGAACGAACTGACAAAGAGCTATCTTAGCCAAGTCATAAATCTATGATTTATCCCAATCCAGCGCTACAGTTTTTTCCTTAACTGAACTATTTTCACAGGGAATTCACTGTAGAGTGACGGCGTCAGTATTGCTGGACATTATCACTCTACGGGCTCTAACATTTTTAAGCATCTTCGTCAATACTCGGCTAATCAATTACTGAATTGATACTTAATTGTGAATTGATACTGTTACAGTTAGACAAAAGTGCAGAATTTTCCCCTTGTTTGCAATGCGTCACCAGTTCTTCTTCAGCACCATTTTAAGTCACTTGTCTCTTAAGTCTCAAGTTACAGTACATTATTCACCTTCACGACTTTCTATGCCGAGTGATAAAATGTTCTCTCTGTCGATTAGACACAACACCTCAGTAATTGCGTGCTTATTTTCGTCTGAATCGTAGTTTCATCCCTGACGATGGCGTGCGAACATTTCCAGAAAAATGTGCCTATCCTTTCACGCTGTTGTTTCGTTCTCTTTTAAACATCTTTAAACCGCATTGTTTAACTTCCATTTATTGACTACTGTTTTTTCATAGCAGAGTGTTATGTAGAATACAACTACAATTCTGCTGAAATATGAGCAAAACTCGGAACCCTACGTGAGCTCCGAGTCCGCGATTACCAGTTCCGGGAGCTCATGTGCTATCCACTACATCATCGTGGCGTTTAACTCTGAGCAATGCTGATTTGTGTATATTAGATCATTCGGTGATTGTTGATAGCATCGTTGGAGTATAAAATAGGCCCAGAGAAAGGCAAAGCAAGGGCGTCAATGGTGCATTGGATAGCACGTAAGCCTCGGAAAGGGTAATCTTTGGCTCGAAGCGCACCTGACTCCTGAGTTTCCTCATATCTCAGCATCTTTAAACCTATCTACCGTAGATATTATCGACTGTTCCATCTTTTTATACGAAATGGCACTTACTGAAGTACCTAGCAACGAATGCGACAAATAGCAACAGTTTGAAAGTTTACTCTACTCAGACCATATGTTTTCCTTGTTCTGTGACTCGTTTTAATAGTGGGTCGGGATTTGCTTTGTTTACCTTGGACCATTTCTATCCATGGTGGCATTCCAAATCACTGCCCATCTTCATCACTTTCTGAGGCACATCTACCTTATGGTTTTTTAGAAGTGCAACAAAGTACGGTTTCTTCTGTGTACAACTTAGATCTTTATAACACTGATCTTCATATATCATACCGAACCAACTACTTTCTCCATTCATTTCATCGTGTAGTAACGCTAACCTATTCGGGTAGTCGTTTTGCATATGGGTTCGATGGTGGCCTGTTTCACCTTTCTGGAGAACTCGGTCACTTAATCTCAGGATAGAAAAAACTTTATCTTAAAGCAGTAGAAATCGCTGTAGACGAGGAAGGTGGGTAACTGTCATTAGCCGGTGGGACCTGCTAACATCGTTATTCTTGGATCTCAAGAAAAATTTTCCGAGCACAATGTTGCGGCGATGAGCTTCCAACTATATATGAATACCAAGTCGTTGTAAACATTGGTCCTTGTAGCTGTAACGCGGGGCTTTTCCGTAACTGTTGTGAACAACCTCGAATTTGGGTTACAATAGTTTATAGCAATAACAACTGTACAATAATAATATCTGGTATGTGGCGATATGTGGTTAAGTGGGTATATACGAGCGAGATTGAAGTGAGAACAAGCAATGCAGTTGAAGGAAGTTAGGTGGACACTGGGGTTGGAGCACTGAGGAACTGAGGGATTGGATGAACACCGGACGAACGCTACGAACGCTTCAAGACAAATGCCCGTGGGATGCTCGTATTCCTTCTGTAGTGGGTGGAGCGTTGCCGGAGGGAACTAAAGACAGTGCCTAGAGAGAGGTTCTAAAGGTTTTTTCTACTAGCACAATCTGATCGGCCAACATGTGAAAGGGCGCAGCTGCTCGTTCGGAAACTTTTTTGGCACGGCAGATGCTGCAAAGTACATTCAGCTGACTGCTGCTGGTTCAGTGCTCGAACTGCCCGGTAAAGAAGAGCAGTTCATTGAAAGAAGTTGTAGAATCCCTTTCCAGCCACCTGCAAGGCAACTGCATGAGATAGTGGCTAAAGATGTAGTTACAGGTGAACAGGGAACACACACCAATATAGAAGATTAGGAATAAGGTCACCGGAAGCAGTATTTGAGACGTTTTGCATAGAGAACATTCCTATGTTGGTGAAGAATGTTCTCTATACAGGATTACCATGTAGTTTCCCAGATGCGAAAATATACGATTTGTCCTCATACCAACTCTCCTTAATTAAAAAGTACTGATAAGAATGTCGATTGGAGATCCTTCTTAGAACAGTATAAAAATAGCCTATCTCTGATTCTATCATCTCTTTCGACTTATTAATCACAGGCCATCCCAAAGCTATAACATGTTGTATTTGTATCGCCTGCCCTCTATTCGATCTTTGAATAGTCTGAGTAAGATTTACCAAAGTTTCCGTTGGTTTCTATCGTGGGCCAAACTTGCGTAGTGGCTTTTGTTTACTCGCGTAACACGATACATGCTTTTCGGTTAGGGTGTTCGTGAAGTGGTCTCTTTATTAGGTTGGTGGCCTTCCTATAGTGCAATTCATTGTGATGCATGGAAACAAGTCACTAATGCCCACATAATCGTGCTGGTTTTCCAATAACTGGATTCCTTGTGCGGAGGTCTTGATCCATAGTCGACTCCGATCCATTCGGGTTTAGGTGATGTGCAATTCCTTGCAGTCAGATTTCGGAAGGAACAACTGTTGTGCCGATACGTCTACACTTCATGCTGTATGGGTAAAATTGAAAGTGGTAGCCGAAGAGACTGAAAAAGAAGCTTCTGCCGTCGTTAGGGTGTTTTTCTCAATTTTAAGTCTATAAGTTTTAAGTTAAGTTTTACATATTCGGAGGCGAGTTGTTGGTTCCTTATTGCTCGTGCAATTTGTATTTGCACGTTGACACAATAGCTCAAAAATTTCTGGAAACAGGCATCGTTTAATCATTTGAAAGTTCTCGCTTTGGTTAGCACTGCATTAGACGTTATGGTTGAGCCATAGCATTTTTTATCGATATCAACGAAAGGGCGCGTCTGGCGCAGTGGTCGGAGGCGCCCTGCAACACATACATAGGATCGGTTCTCGCACCCCTGGCTCAAGAAGCCTTCCATCCCTCAAGGGTCGGCAAATAGATACCAGACTTGTCTGAGAGGAAAGCAGCACTCTCGCAATGCATCTGTAGGCCACCGCGAGTCATCGTAAAGGACAGATATGCATTCAATCACCACCAACGATGCTTAATGAAGTCCCTAAAGGATTGATCAACACCAAGAGCTTTATCCTTTTTATCGATAAAAGTATTATCTCGTTCGAAGAATTTAAAAATCATAAATGTATTACGAAAGTCAATTCCTTGAGGTTTGCGACTAACGGCTTTTTATTTCTTTTCTGTATGCTTGGTAATCTTGGGCGAAAAGGCTGCTGTCTGGTTTCCTAAATAAATGCTTCTTTTACATGGCTCATTTGATCATGAGACTCTCTTCCAGGTGACTCAAAAATAAATTATCTATGACTACTGTAATTGTGAGTCATGGTTTTTGTCAAGTCAAAAACAAACTGCCTCTTGTCCTACTTCTTCCACTCTGTGTAGAATTCCCCATTACGTCTCAGCTAAAACGCATTGCTATTTTTGGCCTTCGTTTGATTCTCTATTCATGGCTTAGGAATGCACCATGTAACTTGAGCAGCTCAACAAGGAAGAATTGTTCCTGCGAAACACCTCCTTCTTCTTCGCTTCCACGATTTTCTTGAAGTTGCGAAATCTTTGCTGATCCCTGCCATTGACATAGCTTGCATCCTCCATATTTTCATTTCACCACATGTACAATTAGCGCCTTTCTGTGGGGGTATTTGTCATTTTTAAGTCTTTTATCTCACACTTAAAGTTATCAGTCAGCGTGAGCTTATCAACTGGGATCGTGAATGCTTCCACATTTCTGTCTGACCTAAAAGCTTTTTGTTTCCTAGACGATCCCGCTGTTTCCATTCGCTTTCTTCTTTGTGCACTCCACGATGGCACTGAATGTTTCTTAACATCGTGCTGTTGACTGCTAGTATTAACATTCTTAGGAGTACTCGATGGTGTTATCCTTCTAGTTTTTTTGGTCCGCTACACTTGCACTTTTGGCGACACGATCTGAACAAAAGCAAAAGTAAGCTGGAACCGTTATTAAGCTGTCCTACCAAAATCGTTGATTTAATATTTTTCACCGTTGTCGTCCTCATCCTATAACCAATGAACACCTCACCGGTTAATGCTGCTTTTGGACGTATGTCTAACCATACTTGCAGAGTCTGGTAGGAATCCTTCACCACTTAAACTGTAAGGATTTCTTTGCTTCATGGAAAATCGTCGTTTAAAAAAAATCATTGTAGGGTTTTCTGCTTGTCTTAGGGTGGTAAAGATTTCTTGTATTGTGAGTGAAGTTAGTGAAGTTTTAGCTGGGTCCGAGTTCGGCCGGCGTTCCGATGATGACGCTTCCTTTCGATCCAAATTCCCGACAACTTCATCAGTTTACCGTCAACGACGACCAGTGGTCAGTTTTCCTCAAATTTTCTTCTTGTTCTAAGCAGTTCGTTCAATTACTTCTTTCAGTTTTTATAGCGCAATCTTTAAAAAGAAAATGCTTTACGGAAGCAAATAAGTAAGCGTAGTGCAGTAGAAAAGGAGCACGTGTGGCGCAGTGGTCGGAGGCGCCCTGCAGCACACGCGTGGAATCGATCTTCGCGCCTGTGGCCCACCAAGCCGTCCATCCCTCCGGGGTCGGCAAACTGG